CATAACTTACTTTTTGAGATATTTTGGTTCATAATTTGCATATTTGAAGGAAAAACCCTGAAATTTCATTATTAAGGACTTTTAAGGAAAGTAGCAATACACCTTATCGCTATTTGTCCGCCATTACTGGACATCACACAAGTTCCCGTAAAATTTTGACGTCATAATAGAAAATGTCTGACGCCACAATGGAAAAGTGATTGTTGTATGACGTCAAAAGTTCGAGCGGGACAGATTCTCGGGTCAAGCGGGAATAGCGATAAGGTGTATACTTTTGAACGAACAGTCATATTTTAACCGTTTTTTTTGTAAAATGTTCCCTTGATCATTGGCATTAAGATGCTGTAACAAGTTTAAGGTTAAACTAAATTATTATATCCTGAATTTATATCACTATAAGTGAAACAAAGAAGCAGACAATATTTTTGCGTCTACACAGTTCTAAGTGCAGAAAAAAATCTATCGTTGATTTTTTCCTAAAACTTTGACGGAGCATTCTTGAAACAGTACTCGATTGATTGCAAAAGAAAAAAAATAGGGATCCATGTGCTTGTTTTTTCAATACACCTTATCGCTATTTGTCCGCCATTACTGGACATCACACAAGTTCCCGTAAAATTTTGACGTCATAATAGAAAATGTCTGACGCCACAATGGAAAAGTGATTGTTGTATGACGTCAAAAGTTCGAGCGGGACAGATTCTCGGGTCAAGCGGGAATAGCGATAAGGTGTATAAAAGCCATAAATCGTGATTTTTGAATGGAAACGTCCCGTTTGCCAATATGGCGCTAGATTCCGTTGAAATAAGTTTTAATCACAACAACGTTGTGCAATCATTCCCGCCGTTCACGATTACGCTGTCAAGTTCAGTGGTATAGCCAAGGTTTTTTTTTCGAAAGCAATGATACAATGTATTAATCATCAAAATTTCAAAGCTGGTTACTCGTAAAATAGCATAACATTTTTGCCAAACCTTTATGAATTGTTACGAAACTTGGATACAAAAAGTAAATACTTTTAGAAAATAAAGGTGCGGAAACAAAAAAGATAAATCTGATAAAAAAAATATATATTTTGCATCTCTGTCCGACATTAGTCCGTGCCCTCATGTAGACAACACAGCTTGGGTATAATTTTAATTATTCAAAAAGCCCCGACATGACAAAACATGAAACAATTATAAAGTAAGTGGGATACTATAAAGATAAGGACAGTTGGTATGCTTGCCAATGAGAACAACTACGTATCAACCATAGTTCAAATTAAGAAGATAAACGAAATTAAAGGTCACCGTACGGCCTTCAACAACAAAAAAAGCCACACTGTAAAGTCAGTTTTAAAAAGCCCCGACATAAAAATGTGATCAATTTAAACAAGAAAACTAACGGTCTACTATATAGGCATTATATGAACACAAAACCATACCCACATTAACTCGGGTAAGCTTGGAACTACTCTGAACATGTTTAAAAAGTGAATATTTAGAGCTGTTTCGAGCAAATTCATGTCGTAATTGTCTCAATATAGTCCATTACGGGTAGTGTAACATTTCATAGGAAGTTCAGCAGTCGGTATTAGAGCATGAAATTGCATTATTCTGTATCAATAGATAAGTTGCGTAAGCTTGTCTTCAGGGTATTTCTATACCCCTCCCCCCAATTCCGTTGGGGGGTGGGGGTGGGTATTGTTTTACCCCTGTCTGTATGTCCGTCCGTCCTTCTGCCCGTCATTCCGTCTATAATACGGGGCTTATAACTGTGTTTTTTTAACTGACAGTTCCTTTTCATACACATATACACATATATATTCCACTGGGTTAAATTCTAAAAATGCCGTAAAACTTTTTAATGTACTTATTCAAAGTCAGGAACAGTATGGGGCGTTGTCTTTATTTATCATGCTATTTTGTCATTTTGTTGATAGTCTCTGTTTAATTTATTCGTACAATTCTCCATACGAATTAGAGTTTGACAAATGGTGTAGATATTATATATTGATCAAGACAGTACGTTAATATCAAAATTGCTTATTGAGCTTTTTGTGTAGTTGGGTTTCTGTCTCACCGACGTATTATTATTTACATGTCTTTTATTCATTACCTATATGAAATAAAACGTATACAAAATTATGATTGTGGTTTGATTTTTTTCACATTTCAAGTTAATACTGTTGACCTCATTATTAATGAATAAATATAACAACTTCTCGTGATATGGTCGATTTTCTTAGCAGGTACTTTGTTTCAAATTCGCGCAACCGGATTTATGACGTCAGTGGCTACATTTAACTCGACGTCGCGAAATGTAATCGTTCTTATTAGAAACTTCGCGAAATTACAACGTTCTGATTAACAACGCCGCGAAAACAACACGAAAAGTTTTGAAAACGTTATTATCTGCCCCTGCTACTGTATCGTATTTCCTTAACTGGCTGTTTCTGTATTGGCCCTGTCAGTATAGATTCGAGGTTAGCTGTATTGGACCCCCGATTGGACCCGAGACTCGAAGAGTCGAGGGCCAATACAGCTGATCGAGAATCTATAACAGGGCCAATACAGAAACAGCCAGTTCTTAACACTTTTATTAAATGATTTAAATTCTTCGATTAAACTAAGAAACTTACCGTGTAGAAGACACAGAAATTCATGACATTCATAACGTTAGATGAAATTGTCTTTTCGCATTCACGATGGATTGTTTGTCAACATTGTCAGATGTAATTTCTGAATTCTCACCCAAGTACTTAATCTTATGCTATTACAATTCATTTTATCTAGCAAATATAAAGTAGCTAGTAAGAATAAATCAGACAGTTTAACTATTCTTACTCTTGAGTCGTCTACGTTCTGTTGATTGATCAACGGAAATGAAACAGTGATAATAATCGAAAGTCGTACGCGAATAGGCTGTGAATAATTCCGTTTCAAGACGTTACAAAACACTGAAAATCATTTAAATTTTTTAAGTTGAAAAATATGATACAAATGCATTTTATGCATAACGATACATCCAAAGTTAAGCTTAGCGTAGGAACATTGTAACCGGAAGTGAAAGTCCCGTATAAGCCCATGGGCCAATACGGCTTTTTTCAGTATTGGCCCTGTTTTTTTCCGTATTGGCCCTGTCCGAAAAGCAATATTATCTCATGATTTATATCGACAGGGCAACGTCATCATTATTACACATGCTGATTTATCCGTATTAGGTCCGGTGGGGGGGGGGGGGGGGGGGGGGGGGGGGGGGGGTGTTACTGACTATCCTTTCGGGGTATAACTGTGCCGACAGCACTTGCCAAATCATACCCTGTTCTAACCAGAAAACATTGAAAAACATACCCTGTTCTAAACAGAACTATTGAAAAACATACCCTGTTATAGACCGTATAAAATAGATGCTGTTCTAGACCCGGGTTCTAGACTGTATCTTAAACAGTTAATTAAGCGATCCTGTTCTAGACAAATACTTTGTTTAAAAAAAGACCCTGTTTTCACCAGCAGGGCATGAAAAAGCGATCCTGTTCTAACCAGCAGGACATGAAAAAGGGACAATGTTCTAACCAGCATGGCATGAAAAAGCGACCCTGTTTTGCGGCACACTCGTACCACTAAAAATATAGGAAGTAACCCCCCGGGGTATTAGGGCTGATTTGCTCATATCATTTAATAACAACATATACAATATACAAAAAGACACCTACAAGAGGGCAACATACAGCCTTTGATAACAGACAGTTGTCTACACAATATGGTAAGCTATCAACTTTGATAACAGACAGTTGTCTACACAATATGGTAAGCTATCAACTTTGATAACAGACAGTTGTCTACACAATATGGTAAGCTATCAATCGTTCAAAGTCTATAAAATTTGCGACTTAATTTAATGGAAACAATCAAATGTCTGCATTGACATCTAATTTTGCAAATGACCAAAAACATTTAGATATGACATACGACCATTACTGACTTGGGACAGGCGGCACGTAAAAATGTGGCGGGGATAAATATAGCTACTTATGAGGTTCCTGACTTGGGACAGACACATAAAATGTGGTGGGGTTAAATATAGCTACTTATGAGGTTCCTGACTTGGGACAGGCACATGAAAATGTGGCGGGGTTAAATACAGCTACTTATGAGGTTCCTGACTTGGCACATGCACATGAAAGTAACCCATTTTGACACTATCTGATAATGGAACGAAGGTCTATATGCATTTTTCTTTGTTTTGTTGTGCTGTTGGGTTGCTGTCTCATTGACGTATGTTGTTAGTGTCTTTCACTCATGTATTCACGTGCCACATGTATATTATGACTTATGTCATAAAAACCGACTGTTTCACTACTGTTGTTAGGAATTAGAACTTTGACAGTTTAGAACGTAAAAGTAATGCGTAGGGATTTGTTGGTAGATGTGAATGAAAGTTCACACTTATCTTAATCTTTTCAAGATTCCTCCGACGTTCCAAACTAAAATATTCTCATTTAATTGTCAAAAATATTTTACGATTTTGTTAAGTTTATACAAATTAACTGTGTACGACACGGAAAATCGGAAAATCGGTCGTGAAAGCAAAGACAATCTATTGACTTACACTGGGAACTACGGCAACCAAGGCGAAGCGCCTGTCGAAGGGAGATATTCATTTAAAAATTCCGCATGTGATTTTAATCATTAAGTGTCATCCAAAGTAATAGAATGAACAGATATATCATTCAGTCGTCTTGTATTCATTCCTTGTGCTTTTAACGGGGTCTTGTAATTTACGGATTCCATATTGAACCTGAGATTACTGCTATGAGGGTCCTTCAAATCTGTATTCTTTAATTTTTTTTTATGTTATAGCAGTCTCAAATTGAACCAACGCACAGTTAATTTTAAATCGATAAATAGGTCAGTTATTTAAAAAATGATTTCTGAACTTAAAACCAAGCCCATTTCTTATAATGTAAAAGTAAATAAAATTTCTCATTGATGTATCATAAGTAAACAAAACCCAAGTAACAGAACATTTTGTTTAATGACATTTAAAAGCACATATTTTATAAAATAAATAAGATAAGATATTAAAATAATAGTAAAAGGATGGGTATTTATATCTTTTAAAGGACGGATTTGTTTACCTACATTTTTGTTGTTTATTCCACATCATAAAACCTTAATTCTCTAACAATATAACGACAGCCATTAAAGTTATCACAGAAATTGAATCATTTCTCAGCCAAATAATCCTACTCGTAATATAACGCAAAAACTGATCCGATCGCCGAGAAATCTTGTCCGTTGTAGGTTACTGTTGAGAAATTGTCAACTGATGTATCCCAGATACACCTGCTGGCACATACGGCACACTGTTCTTTATTTTCCAAAATCGATACGGAGGTTATAATCTTGAATCTTTTTGGACCTGTAGCCTTCACTCTCTCCTTCAATAAATCCGCCAAAGTTTTACACAGTTGCGGAAACGTTTTAGGATCGTATTTTCTATCCTTCAAATAATTTTCGAATGTTGAGGTAATAATTTGATTTGTTTTATCAGGGTTGAACTTTGAAGATTCAGCCGGTTCCATTCGGTATGTATTTTCTAATGCTTTTATTCCTCTTGGAACTATTTCCGATCCAGCTTTACTCCTTGTAAAAGAACCGCCCATCATATTATGCATTTTCAACTTAGTCCGGAGTCTGGAAAATCTGTCTTTGACCAGAACAGACGACACCTTACTGCTAGAATCGGACTGTTTGTCTTTTGGAGCCATTGCTCCCCACAGAGACTTTGGCGGTGGACCCATGTTTGGCAACGTCTTCTTCACATTTGCGTTGTGGACTTTTAAAACCTCTGCACTCAAACCTTTGGTCTCCATGAGTGTTTAATGATGATATACGGTGTTGACAGATTTATATTTACTTTGTTATCACTGCAGTCTGATCACACATCCACTGTCGTCCTGATAAAACAAGAATATAAAGATTAAAACGCTATGTCAATATTATCTCATTTAAAAGTAAAATCTCGCCGTGGGCATATGAAATATTAAAATGACTTTTTAAAACACAATCGGAATGAAAACTGTTCGATTATTAAAACTTTAAATTATCAACTACTAAATAAACTGTCTTGATTTACCATTGAGGTTCGCCTCGCTCCAGGGTAACTCCAACCACTCGACACAACGGAATATTTAACAATGTAACAACTCGCTTATTATCCCTACATATCAATGAACACTTTAATATCAGGACGAAATGTTAAAAAGTCAGTTAATATATAAAGTTATTAAATCCCAGGTAACCTTGCAGGTATATCATTAGAAATCAAAGGAAAGGAAATTGCGTGTTATACGGTACTTTCCGCTTTTGTTCATTAAGCGATCAGATTTCACTGATTCGTTTCATTCGGTGTCAAATTTGATGTAGAAAATTAAAGTTGTGTATTTGAGTAAAAAGAATCTTTCTTCCCTCGGTGACATTAAGTTATATGAGATCTACATGATATACACGGTGCATAAGGAAAATTATGAGAAAGGAAATAAACGAAACGGTAAAAAATTACTAAGTCTAGTTTTAAAACATTGCTTAATTATAATATTAAAATCAAATAAAATTTTCAGACCTATAGCTGACAAAAGAAGTATGTGGTGTGATTTCAATCGGGTACTTCAGCGATTTTGAAATATACTGCAACATTTTTAGTTCGAATTTATATGATTAATGCGTTCTTGAAACCAAGGATTTGTATAGTAAGGAGGATTGGAATCTCGTGGACTTTTGCAAAGACTATTATATATTATAATGTCTTACTATACAAATCCTTGTTGAAACACAAAGGAATCAAACAGACCATAATATTAACAAATTTGTTTTATGAATAATGACATTAAAACGACAAAAGCCATTTGTTTATCATTACAAATCTATAATGATTTTCTAGATTTCCGTTAAAAATAACTTAAACTACCAAAAATCCCTTGATTAAACGATCTTTCGAAAACAGATGTGTTTAAATAAGGTTTTGATTTATTTATAAATGCGTAATACAAAATATATAACGAGTGTATGAATTATTTACTCATGAAAACTAAAAATGGAAATTGAAAATTTCATAACGTTGTTAGGAATAATATTATTATAAATTTAAGGTTAGTTAAATCTTTTGTTAAATAGAAATTATCATTGAAAATCATTAAAATCAACAGATGTCGTTACATGTGTTGCAAATTAAATCTAGATATACCTTGTAGATATATAATTACAAGAATAAATATCTTGATTGTTTAATTTGATTTAACCTGGATTTGATTATTGATATTTGTTTTACATTATGATTAACGGTTAATTGTCAAGCGGCAAAGAAAGGTAAATTGTGTTCACAACCGGAAATAGAAGAAACTGGAAAGTACATGCATTCAACAATCAATGGTTACCTAGCAACAATTGTTTTCTTTATTATCATAGAAGAGGGTATGGATTCTGAACGTTTTTAACAAATAAAAAGGAACTGTCGTCATTATGAGACTGGGAACCTAACAATAAAAAATAGAAAAAGACATTAGTCGACCATGGGCGGAGCCAGGTTCGGGCTCCTTCCAAAAAAAAAATTTAAAAAAATAAAATAAATTCTGAATAAATATATGAAAAATGTGCCAATATTTCAATGGCAGAACCGTAATCAAAACAAAATTTCGGACTCTAGGCGGAACGCCTGCTTTAAACATATGATGTATAACAATAAATGAACTTTGACATTTGCGGAACCTAGTTCGTATTATCAAAGTTTACTCTAGCTTGTAAGCATCAGTTCAAAGATGTAGTACCAATTTCCCTTGTATTTGTTTTACTAACAAGGTCGAAATCTAAAAGTGGTCAAATCCAAACTTAAAACATTTTTCAACAGTTTTGATATATTTGAATAAAATCAAAATATGCCATTTAAGACAACATGCTGCTGTTGAAGGCATTCTGATGCAAAATTGCAAATTTTACATTTATTTGTATAATTTTGCGTCAAGAACGTTGGTAGAGGAATGTCTATCTTGTGCAATTTTTGAATACACACTCAAAAAGCCAAAATCTATGAGAAGTGCTTTGGGGTATCTTCAGGAGTTTATAACTTGGCCAAATGTTTTGAAATAAGCCATAATATTGTTATAACCTCTTAGAACGCACAGAAAGCTGCTTTTCTAATATTAAAAGAATTTTTGAAAATTGTCCGTTGTAAAATAAATTCAGGGAATATTGTCCCGGTGTGAATTAAATTCGGGGGAAACTGACCCTACTTTGTTAGAATAAAAAACTGTCAAAGTCTTGTACCTACTAGCATATAACTCTCAAGTCAAAATGTTTTATAAAAAAGTCATGCTTTTGTGGTGTCAAATGTCAGTCACCATGCCCAAGAAAGGGAAGCGATTTTATTATTGTTGTTCTTCATCTCAAATCACAACGAGGTTCCAATGCGGGACAACACGCTCAAACATCACTGCAAATCCAACATAGCCCTTAGCACCAGCTTGAGTGGAATTCTCCGCTAGATTTCAAGGATGTTATACTTGTGAATTGAAAACTGATGCAGATTGCGGGGTGGGGGAGGGGGAGGGGGTAGGGGAGAGGGAGGTAGGGAGGTTTAAATGTTTATATCAATAGATTACTACGAAAAATAGATCTAAAATATACTGAAATAACAATTACCGACAAACTCATTGTAAAATGCAGAAACAATTCAAACATTTAGTCGATCACAATGTGCATCAATATATTTGTGAATTAACTTGCCCGGCCATACATACATGTTGTAGCCTGTATTCTTGTCCAATGTATGATGGTATATAATTTCCGCAATAGATAAATAAATTATTTCTGGCCATGGGATTAGTTATTAGGATTATTTGTTATAAAACTACATGCAAGTTCAGTTATTATAATGCAAACTTTGATTTGCTTCGCTCAAAATAGGAAAAAAACGTCTAGTGCCTCGCAAAAGCCCCCCCCCCTTTTTTTTCCGCAACGAAAACTCGAAGCAATTAATGCCCAATGAATATGATTTCTAAATTTTATATAAAAATACATACAATTACATGCCTAGTCGAAAACAATAACATACTCTCTACAAACAGCTATGCAATCAAAAACATCCAAATTCAATTTACGATAAAAAATACTTACTGCAAATAACTATTCTCAGGTCCCATGCACTGGGTATATTGTCAAAATGATTTTATACTGTTTGATCTCCATGATAAAACTCTTGTAGCACAAGTGAAAAACTTACCTTCAAACTAAATTTGTTTTTGTCAAAAGTCGCCCACTTCTCTTTCATGAAAATATCTCGTAGCACGTATCATAAACTTCAAATATTATACGAAAAACAATCTTATATTTATATGTGTCATTAAAACTGTTCAATGATAAAATTTACAGTGGCTATTGTCAATATTTTCTGATTTCACTCTGACTAGTAAGTAAACACACTCTGTGTGAAGTACCCACACTCTCGACGTTTTGTTCTCATTTAGTTTAAAGACCATAACATGTTTACGAACTAATATTATGAGAAAATGTCGGACGAGCTAGAAATAGTAGAATGGATATCGCGAATACAATTAAATTCGAGAATGTTTCCAGAAAAAGAATGTTATCAAAAAGAGCAAGGCAAAGTATTTAGTTCAACGTGCATTTGTTGTATTTATGTACATGTACATGTATATGTATTTTATTTGTTATTGCTTGACCCTTATGGGTGTAATTTTGAAATAAAATATTATATGTAATCGATATTTAATTAGAGGGGGATAACACGGGGATGCTCATTACCCAAATCCCGGGTTTTTAAAATTTTCCCCTCTTCCCATTTTGCCGTTCTTTTTCTCAGATCCCACATTTTTCATCCCCTATATCCCTCATCCCCATTCCCCCCTTATATACCACCCCAAAAAACGACAGGGAGCTTTAAACAAATTGACTTAACGAAACAAATGAAAAACAAACATTGCCTTATCACAAGATACAATCAAACTACGAAATACATATACAATTTCACATTCCGATTTCCAAACTAGACAATGACCTTTACCATGTAAGTCACTGATCATTCATAATTTGTGAGGGAGGATCTTTTTTTATTGATAAATTTTTTGATTAAATTAAATTTCTTGAAAAAAAATAATATGCTTCAGAGGTGAAGTGAGCAAAAATTAAGTTTGTTTCCATTTAGAATTTAGAATTAGAGAAAATAACAAATGCTACATTGAGTTAAACATTTTTTTAGTTCCTGTATCACTGGTCGGAAAACAATTGTTTGTTCCAAAATTAAAACACATGCCTCCCACATAAGATAAATGGTAGGTAGGCAGTTTTTACATTGAGTTCAAAATTTTTTTAGTTCCTGTATCACAGGTCGAAAAAAAATTGTTTGTTCCAAAATTAAAAACCATGCCTCCCACATAAGATAAATGGTAGGTCGGTGCGAGTGCTTAACTGTACAGAGTCAATATTAACTGTACAGAGTCAATATTAACTGTACAGAGTCAATATTAACTGTACAGAGTCAATATTAACTGTACAGAGTCAATATTAACTGCACAGAGTGAAGATAAATGGTATTATCAAGGTTACCAAAAAAGCTACCAGTAATATCAATTTCTTAAAGAGACAAAACGCTTGAATATAAACAAAGCAAATCGTTGGCTTGGGACAATTGTTTTAAAACCAATTTTGAAGATCTCATTTATCCCTGTTTAGTATGGACTACTGACCTTATAAAAGAAATATAGACGATCAAACATTAAAATTACGTTAATGAAAAGGTCTTTACTGTATATTTACTGTATTATGCTGGGTTTACAGATGATATAAAGCACATAATATAATAGATACTAATGATAACGTGTCAACGAAATCTCGCCGTTATTGTAAACGTTGAAATGTTCACACGGGAGTTGTTTTAGCTTATTTTACAATCACGCATAACGCGCTAAAATATCCCCGTGCGAATTAATTGTAGAAGCAACCTTATTGGCACGAAGGGCGAATTTATTACTCAATGCACGAATTCAAACCCTGCATGGCGCGAAAGTTTATGTATTGTGTTTTAAGAGTTATCCCCGTCAAATAAAGAGGTCACAGTCGCAAATGTTGTTTTACTGACGGCGCAGAGCGGAGCGACTTACTTAGATATTTGCAACCTCCAGATTCAAATTGACGATAGAAACTATCAACCACAAAACGTGCATTTCTATTCTAATAGCATTCAAATAGTTAACATAAAACCATTTCAGATATCCCGGTAAAAGTCGATTGCGATTGTGCAACGTTGCTAATGACTTCAACGTCAACTGTGGAATCGCTTTGACAAAAAGTACATTACAGGTACCAGATACCTCAGATTTCAAATACTCTAAAACATACATTTGTTAAAAGCATCTTATTTGTAAATTTAACGTTGAAGGTTTCTCAACGTGCGTTTTACTTTTACGACATATGGTCTAGAGAAAAAAAGTTAGGGATGTTTGTTCGCATGTAAAACTGGTTCAACTCAACCACATGTTATGCCTATAAACGAAGTCAGTATCATGACCATTCCTGTGTTCTTAGATATTATTTGTCTTTGTTTGCACGTCTTTGGTTTTTTGTTAGGATTAAGGATGATTTGGGTGTTGGTGATTATAGTAGTTAATTGTTATGGATTGGCTGTTTCTGTATGGACCAATGGGTTGATTCCATTGTATTAGACTTTCGGTTTCCGTCCTTCA